AAACTTAAACTTGAAATAGTATTTCACGTTTTATATAAAACCCATAATCAAAAGAATAAGTTAACAATCAACTAAAGTTACACGATTATTTTCTAACCATTTTAATCTATCAGCATGATTAATAAGTTATCAATTTATGAGTTTTTATAATAGTCAGAATCCATCAATTCATATTTTTTATACATAAACAAAGTAAGGAAATTTTTAGCAAATATATTTTGCTCATATTAATTTGACTAGATACATTTTCTTGAATGAATAAATGCTTTTAGAGTTCAAGATAAAGAGGGAGGCTGTTTTGATAAGAAAACTGAAATCCTAAAACAAACATGGATCTAATGCTGCAATCAATCACGAATTAGAAGTTTGGGGTAAGAAAGAGGCCTAACATTGCTTGGCTTAGTACATGATATATTTGAATACCAAAACGTATATCTGAATGTATTTCCTAGTAAGAGTTACTACAAGCTGATGAAACCAATAGCTGTACTAGTTCAATCTTAATTTTACATATGTAATCCACAAATTACAAAACATTTGAATGACCAAAGCACTGGAAAACAAAAAAGTAAACATATTTTAAATCCATATAATAAAACGTTTATATTATGTATAAAACTTTATGTCATTATAGTAATATATATGTAAAAAAAAATGCTTATAATAGTATTGTTTTCAGTTTTTTTATCAAAACAGCCTTTGAAATATTAGCTTTTGACAACCAGAAACTTTGTGCACTAACAATGAGATATATGGCACATTTATTGATTCACTGTATAATTTTCTTTTTTTGTCACTGTATTTCAAACATCTTACTTTTAGGTTTGATCTTTTCTCAGTTCTGTTACAAGTATATTTCTTACAAAAGTGATACATTTCAAAAATACGGAATGTATATAAGCAAGACAATTAATCAACTTCAAAGTGGAGTGTAAGATATATCACTGAGCCACTTTTTTATTTCAAGAACAAATCATGGCTTTCTTGAAACTACTTGCAAAACATTTTGTTCCAAATATTCACCTCTTAAATAATATATGGCCCTGTTTTAAATAGTAAGTTTGATTAAGTTTTGGCACTTGAAGATTCATGCAACCATACTTAACAATGAAACAATACAAAATGCTGATGCAGGACAAGAAGGTTTTAGCCACAGAATATGCTGCTTTCTACAAAACACTACTAACTAATGAGATAGAAGTTTCATTCTCAGCCTATAGCCTGCAATAAATCAGTGCTAGCACTCGAGACAAAAAGACTTGGTCCTAGACTGCACCTCACTTTGAAATAATGCCAGCAAGTATGAAAGAAGAACTTAACAATAGACTACAGTTTGTTCACAAATAGTACCAGCTACTGAAATAGATAACTTTGACCTAGACTGTGAATTGCTATTAAGCAGTACCACATTCTGATCTAGAAGCCAAACTTACGGAGCTAGCACAAGAAGATTTTTGGCTGTAGAGTAGTACTCACTATAAATTATTATCTGCTACTTAGCTATATGTACAAAGTATAAAGCTTGCAGTAAAGCTTTCTGTGAAACAATATTAACTACTAATTCTTTACTACAGTTTGGTATGAAACATATTTTTAGCCCTAGACTACAGTTTGCTATAAAACAGTTTTTTAGCTCTAGACTACAGTTTGCTATGAAAGAGGTCTTTAGCTCCAGATGACTGTTTGCTATGAAAGAGGTCTTTAGCTCTAGATTACTGTTTTCTTTGAAACAGGTCTTCAGCTTTAGATGACTGTTTGCTGTGAAACATATTTTTGATTCAAGAATAAAACTCACTATGAAACAGGTTGTTAGTTCTAGATTAAAGCTCATTATGTAACAGGTTTTTAGCCCTACCCTACAGTTTGTTATAAAACTGGATTTTTTAGCTCTAGACTACAGTTTATTATGAACCAGGCATTTAGTTCTGGATTAAAGCTACCCCTGAAACAGGTTTTTAGCTCTAGACTGCAGTTTGTATGAAACAGATTTTTTAGCTTGAGAGTGCAGTTTGCTATAAAACAGTTTTAACCCTAGTCTACAGTTTGCTATGGAACAGGTTTTTTTTAGCCCTAGACTATAGATTGCTATGAAACAGGGTTTTAGCTCCAGATTACAATTTGCTGCAAAACAAGTTCCTTTAGCATTAGACTATAGTTTGCTATGGAACATAGTTTTAGCCCTAGACTGCAGTTTTCTATGAAACAGGTTTTTTTAGTTCTAGCTTAAAGCTCACTATGAAACAGGTTTTTAACTCTAGTGTATAGTTTGCTATGAAACAGGTTTTTATTTCTAGACTACAGCTTGCTATGAAACAAGTTTTTAGCTCTAGACTACAGTTTGCTATGAAACAGATTTTAGCTCTAGACTACAGTTTGCTATGAAACAGATTTTTTTTAGCACTAGACTATAGTTTGCTATGAAACAGGTTTTCAACTCTAGTGTACAGTTTGCTATGAAACAGGTTTTTAGCCCTAGACTAGAGTTAACTATAAAACAGGTTTTTAGCCCTAGACTATAGTTTGCTATGAAACAAGGTTTTTGTTCTAGCTTAAAGCTCACTATGTAACAGGTTTTTAGCCCTAGACTATAGTTTGCTATGAAACAAGGTTTTTGTTCTAGCTTAAAGCTCACTATGTAACAGGTTTTTAGCCCTAGATTACAACTTGCTATAAAACTATTTCACTTTTTCCCTATTAAAGAAAAGCTAAAACACCGTTAACCACTTTTTTATAAGAATAATATTAATAATCTCGTTGTTTAAGCCCTGATGTGTTATTCTTTCACACACACATACTTGGTTCACGTAATATGGATTTAATCTTTGCAGTTCATCATTAAACAACGGGTTCTGACACTTCTAGATAGTGTGCCTATTACAAAGAAAGGATGAATTGTGCCATTTAAGCATAATATCAAGTGGCAAATGAAAAACTCTTCATTGGTTTTACAGAGCTCTAAGTCCACTTTTCAGACTACTAATTAATTCTGTTGAAAAATATGTGGAAGTATGCTACACATATCTTTAAATTTCTAATATCTCCTGACCATGTCACATAAACACTTGTTAACCTCCCCCACAAGTTTCTAGAATACAACTTTTAAAAACAATAAATCCTAACAGTTTCCAAGGAAATAATATATGAATGTTACAGAATGAACTGTAACACATATTTCAGGAACAATACATGAGCAATACATATGGTTGATGCATTCAAAAAACTAATTGGCATATACTAAAAAAATAATTTTTGGCCCAGAATTTGTTTGAAAGCAGCTATGCTCATTCTCAGTTTATTTTAGTAATCATTACTAAAGATATCACTGTCCAGCACAATTAAAGAATCTTCATATTTCCATACACACTCAAAGTGAATTTTGTATTGTATTAGAATTATAATTATGTATATAATTAAAAGAGTAACTTATGTGCACGCATGTGTGGGAAGCTTTTTAACTTCATTAAATTATGCAAATATGAAATTAGGAGTAAGGAAGTACTGATGATATCACTATATGTGTAAGAGAAAGGTGGATGTAGATAGTATTATGCATTGCAAATGGAAAGGTATTTGGGGAATGCATCTGTCATCCTTCCAGACCCCATTTCATACAGCATTGTTTATGTGTTAAGGTTTTGTGTGTGATTTTCTTCACTTGTTTATAAACACCAAGATTACTGGTACCTTCACTCTGTTGAATATTAATAGTCGCCCCCAATAACCAGGTTTTGAAAGTATCACTAGATCTGGTGTCTCTTACTTGATAAGTTGATTGGGTTTGCCATTTTTGATAACACCATTCAGCTTAAGTATCTTTTGTACTAGAGGTGTTAGGTGGGTTTCACTAAGGTTTAACCTTGCAGTCATTGAGATGCACCACATGGCCATCAGATTCATTCACAACTCTGTGTACCTAACATCATAATTGAGTAGCCTAAGCAGGTCACTTAACTGTTTTGATTACTTTAAATCTTCAGCACTACCTTTACATTTTATAAACTTTGTGCATTTAACACAAAATACCAAAACACACACAAAAAATGTTTTGTATGCAAAGCATGAGTTTTCCACCTAGTAGCAATAATAAAAAAGAATCTCTGAAAGACCACTTCTACTGCTACTGGTAACAAGATTATAATAGTAATTTAATTAGCAAAAGGCCACTTAAGCTACAGCAACAATTCCTTTAGGAAACAATATAACATAGCAAAAGGTAAAATGACCTAAGAAATAGCCCACATCCTTAAATGGAAACTATATTAAAATGGATATGGCCATAAAGTATTTCAAATATTAAATCATTTGAACATCACTGAAGATGTGACACATGATGCAGCAAAAGTTATATGTCCAGTTGTGTACAATTTTGACAGTGCTTTTTTCATGGGTATCAGCCTCAGAGTAGTTAATTATGAAGTAAAAAAATACTAATTTAAGAAGAAATAGGTTTTAGTCCTAGATTTCAGCTAGTTACAAAGTTGTTCAAATTACTGAGTTAGAAGAAGAAGCAGTTTCTTAGTTCTAGACTACAACTTATTATGCTAAAATACCAGCCACTGAGACAGAATAAAGACTTAGCACTAGATTAAAGTGTCCTATGAAATAGTGCCTACTATTGAAACAGAAGAAAATCTTAGTATTAAGGAAACATTTGCTATGTGAAACTGCCAATTATTTGGAGAAAAAAAATGTTTTAGCACTAAAGTCTGCTATGAAAGAGTACCACTACTGAGATAGAAGAAATTATTAACACTAGACTAAATCTGCTATGAAACAGTGCCAACGTTTAAGAAAGAACAAAAATACTAGATATAATGGTAATAAAATTTAGGGAAACTTTAATTTGACACAATGTTTCGGACTTAAACCCTTCTTCAGGTGATGTTTATTCAAGTCATATAGGACTTGAATAAACATCATCATCTGAAGAAGGGTTTAGGCCCAAAACATTGTGTCAAATTAAAGTTTTCCTACATTTTATTACCATTGTATCAATTGTATTTTCTTTTTTAAACTTTGTCTTGCATCTTTTGTGATTTCTTTTATATATTCCTTGTGTTTGTATACATTATGAAACAGTGCCACCTACTGAGACAGAAGAAAGGATTTGTATTAAGCTAGTTTGCTAAAAAATATTAGCAGTTACTAAGAAAGAAGAAATGGTTGACACTATGATAAACTCTGCTACAAAACAGTATCAGTTATTGAAAAACAAAAATATCTCAGATCAAGACTATAGCTTGCTATAAAACAGTTGCACCTAGAAGAATTGACAAGTTCTTAATCCTAGAGTACAACAACAAAACTAGAAAAACTTGCTGTTTCGCTCCTGAATATGGTACACTTGGAAATCTAAGTTTTCAAAAAACCTCCAGCTTGCTATGAAAAAGTACCAAGTACTGAGCGAGGAGAAGGTTTTAAGAGTACAACTGGCTATCAAACAGTAAAAACTAATGAGCTGAAAGAAGCAATTTTTATCTCTAATACACATTATGCTACAAAATACCACAAACTAATGAGACAGAAGAAGCAGGATTCAAACAATACAGCTACTTATGAAATGGTATATACTAATAATGTGGGAGGTATGTTTTAGCCCTAGAGGACAGCCAGCTAAGAAATGGCACAAATTAATTTTGTAGATGAAGCAGATTTGAGCCTTTGAGTACAGGTTGCCATGAAATAGTTCAAACTGTTGAATTAGAAGCAGGCTTTAGCCCTAACTGTGAAATCATATCAGAAAATGAGTTAGAAGAAGCAAGTCTTAGCCCTAATACACATATTGCTATATAGTAGTACAAGCTCCAAGGTTAGAATAATCAGGTTCATTTTAGTCATGGAATATAGCTGACTATGTGAGATAAAGGAAACTACTATGATAGAAAAAGAGGGTTTAGCCCTGTAGTACAACTACCTGTCATACAGTACAAACAAATTACTAAGATGCATGAGGCAAACTTTAGTTTAGAATTGGCTAGATGTGAAAAAATATATATAAATTATAGAGTGAAATGTGAAAGAATGTTTGGTCTTAGAAAGCAGCTAATTAGTAAAAACAAAAAATTAAGCCTTAAACCTCAAGAAAGGAACATTAAGATATATAGTATAGCTAATGTAAAAGATGACTGTTGTGTAAAAAAATACCTAAAATACTAAAAATAACTTATATGAAAACTAAAAATACCTAAATAGTATAATGTCCAATGTCTATCAATCTGTGATAATTTTTTGTTCTTACATAAATCTGTTGTTGCAATGAAAAAACTTATTCCAGTTGTCATGAATACCTAAACCAACTGTTTTGTTAAATAAGCTTAAAATTAAACTCCTGAAAGAAAATCCAGGTAGGAAAGCAATAAAGAGAAACAACATGCTGTTTCCTTCTAAACACCAAGTCTATTGTTAAAGGTCCTCATTGCAAGTGTTAATTTTCCAATATATTTTCTGTCTGAAGTAGGTGGAAGAGTAGAAACTATGCAGTGAGGTTTTTAACACTTAGTAGCTACCGAGGTCCTCACAAATGTCTGAACCCTGTAAAGCATGAGTGGAGGATTTAAAATCAACGATATATTAGTTGGATAAATATTCTTTCTTAATACTGACTTTAAACATCACATTGTACAATATGAGGAAAAACAGATAGTAATCAAAAGGTCTGAAGACCTAAGACCATTACTAGTGTCTATAGATGATGAACAATTTGGAATGTTTTTTACAACATACATTTGACAATTTTCAAAGCATATTGAAGGATCCAAGTCTTAATCTTTTTCTAGTTTGACTTTTTTAATGTTGTAATGTTGCTACATGAAGGTTTTAACAATTTTGTCTTAATAAATTTAATAGTTTCCAAGTTTAAAAAAATCTATATTTTAATACATTAAATTAGGCCTAAAGATATTAAAATTAAATAAAATGACTTTAAAAAAATTATATTTGAATACTTTTGAAAATCTAAAATAGTAAAAAAATAATATTTAAGAATTTAATAGAATATGGTATTTAAAGGCTAAAATGGGAAACAAAGTTTCACATCATCATCATAGAAAATTAGTTATTTTGACTAATTACTTAAAAGTTTGTGATATAAAATTTGGCAGGGAAAACTAGTAGTGATATATTTGAAAGAATCAACAATAAAATTTTTTTTTTACTACAGAACTTTTAAATTCATCAAATATAGAAAGCATTCTTAGTTGCAATTTTATTGTTGCACTGAAAGTTCAGTAGTTTTTATTTCATGAAAAAAAAAGTCAGAATAGTGGAAAAATAAGAATGTGATATAGCCACAAAATGTATGCACAATGAGAAGGAAAAATTTAGATGTTAATAACTCCATTTTTATATTACTAGTATACTTATCGATATTCTCCTATTAGTGAAAGTTTATACCATTTTATGCATTAAAAAAACAACCAAACTAACACTGTATAAATTGCATGTTTCCTTTGTATTTATACATTTGAGAAAAGTTAACATTTTCCTTATCAGAAAATGTATTTCTGATGGATACTCACCTCCAAGCACAGATTATCTATTTTCCCTCTTGAGGTTGCACTGTTCTGCCTTAGAGAGTTGCATGCCACCAGCCTTGTGAAATTCCCATCTAAAATTCATATGAAACATGTGATTTTCCACTACTGCATGATGACATATCATACAGCAAGACCCTCCACAAACAGGAGTGTAACACACCTCCTTGTACAAAAATAGCCCTCTTCATTTGGATACAAAAGTTCTCATTCTTTGACATGGCAAACAAGAAAAGTGAACTGGGAAGAAAGGTGGGAATGCACATAGAGGTGAGTATCTATTGAAAATACATTTTCAGGTAAGGAAAATGTTAATTTTAACATGATGACTCACCTCTATGCACAGATTGGCTAGAATTCCACATTCAGATGGTGGAGGAATCGGTGCAGAAATTACCTAGATGAGTCTCCTTTCAAGAGTGCCAAAAGGAAGCCCATGGGGTGTGAAATCCTTTGACAGGGGCTCCATAAGAGCACACCTGTAGGAGACCAAATCTTATCTCAATCAGGGTATACTTTTCACCCAAATGAAGGATAAGTAGAGGTATGATTCCCAAAATGTGTTGCACAGTGGGGAGGAAAAGGTACATGATTGTCTGAAAGCTTGCACACAAGTTGTTGGAAGGTCAATCAGTATACAAGGTTAGGGCATGTCCAGACTGTAACAAGTTGGCTTACTCCCTCAAACATCAGACTTAATAGGTCAATATCAGCTGTGGGAGAAGGCCACATGTGAAAGTATTTGTGTAAAGCTCCTCAACTGTTGAACACTAAAGGCCCACACCAGTTGCAGGAGGAGAGCACTGCAGTGGACACAAAATAAGGATATTTAACAAACCACCATTGAATCATCAGAAGAAGATTAGACATTATTGACTAAGAGTGCATGTTATGGAGTAAGTAGCCACTCTAAACACTGATTGTGAGTGACACTGTATAGAGCAAACGATTATGTCTAAACCCCATCTGCTAAGGGTACATGAAGTAGTAATTAACCAAATCTTCTCTTTATAGATGATGGGGATATATTAGGGAGCAATGAACAAGGACAAAACATTATCCACTACATGTAAATGCTAAGAAGTAATAAATTATAACAAAATAGTATTGTATATGTGTGACTTGTCAAGGAGTAATGGATGAGAACTAAACACTATCATCCATGGGTACAATATATGCAGTAGAACTATGATAAAACATTAATCATTACGAGAACATGTTAAGGAGTAATGAACGACGTCTGTACATCATCATCAAAGTGATGCAATTTAAGGTAGAATTAACAGTATTGAAATATTATCTCCTATGTGTACATGTTAATAGGTAATGAAAGAGAACTAAGCATGAATGTCAAAGTATGCTTGCTAAAGAGAACTAGGTTGAAGCATCAACTAACTTGTGTAAATATTACAGAGCAATTAACTACAACTAAACAGTACCTTCTAAGTGACATAAGGTATAAGGAACTATGGCTAAACAACATAATCTATGTGTTATATGTGAAAAGGTAACGAACAAGAAATAAACATTAACCTCTAAGTATACATGTTAATAATAACCAACTATTTCTAAACATCACCTGTAGTGTATATGGAAAGGATCAATAAACCAGGACCAAACATGATATTATAAGTGGGACATGGTAAGGAGGAAATAACTGTCTAAACACTCTTCTATGGGTACATGTAAAGAAGTAGTGAACATTGGCAAAACATTAATCCCAATGAGTTATATGTTAAGCAGTAATGAACAATGTCAAAACAATATCTTCTCTCTGGTCATTTTAACTCTCTCAACACAGGTTCGGTCAAATTGACTGACCTCATTACAACTTTGTACTCATTATAGTTTCCATACTATAACTTTTAATACAGTATGTGTAACTTCACAAAATGTGGCAAACTTTTAGTAAACATTACATGCCATTTGTACACACACACACACACACACAAAATATCATTTCTTTTAATGAAGTATTTTTATTAAAGATTTGTCAATGAACATATTGAATCTTTTTTTTATTAGTCTGAGTGCAACGTGAATTTTAAATTAAGATTAAAAATACTGTTCTTTATCTCAAAGACCTCAAATTTTGTTTATGTAACCTCCAAATATAAAATTTATATTTTATCTATTATTACCTCTACCCTAACAATATATATATATATATATATATGATTCTTTAGTCAGTAGACAAGTTAAAGTATAATGAAAGGTTGTAAAATCATAAAAGAAATGAGCAGCTCTGCCCTTTCTTCTTTATTATAGGTCACAAAGTTTCAAAGTACTTCTCTTGAGAGTCTGAACTGCTAAATATTTCACATATATTTTCTGTGTTTATTTTCCTGTCAAAGAATGAAGTAGAAATCTGCTGAAAATAAAGGAACAAGTCACTGCTTGTGTCATTAGACTGTTTGTGGAACACTGTAATACAATACTCTCGAGAGCAACAAAGCACGCACAAAGAAATAATCCGACTTCACCACTGCTCGAAGAAGACAATGTGGAATTTATCAGCTTATGTATCCTACAGTGTTTACAATGAAAATTGTCCAAAGTAATAATACTGCACTTTGGATCTTTGAAAACGTATATTATATGGTTCGGAGCTGATCCATTAAACATCGCAAGTGTTTGAGTATTGGTCATGCTTCTGGGATGTTTGGAATTTAGCAGTATACATATAAGCATATAAAGATATTATTTGTGCACTTGGTTATAAAATCCTATTTCCCTTTCAGCAAACTTATTCATCAACCAATAAATATTACTTATTTACAAATGCTTAAATTTTAGGTATTTGTATTAACATATAAAAGAATAAATAAAAAATACTTCAAAAAAAGAAAGATTTTGAGTACTTACAGTGTTATGATATTTTACGATTGTGTGTCGTATGTGCTAAGCCTCACCGTAAGGCTCATTTATTCTTCCGAGTGGAGGGTGAAGAGATATTAATTTTTGTAGGCTTCAAATATACATTTTAGAAAACAAAATAATTAGCAACTTACTATATTAGTGCAAAATAAAACCCCTGTAATTTAGCTGTGTTTCTAAACAAGCTATGTATGACTTTAGAAAAAGTTTGTATCTGTTCAGAGCAACAACTTATTCATCACACTGAAAATAGTTTGGGTGAAATTACGACTTTCCCCTTCAAGCTATTTAAAAGACGACTGTCAGATTTACATACACAGAAAACAGCTCTTTCTCTTAATAGTAAACACTTTGTCAAAAGAAATAGGTGGGAGTAGATTAGAAGTTTCAAAAGAATGGAGTAGTGGGATGAGCCACTCTACTAGATTGGCGAAATATATATTGACATCTCAGCAAATGAAAGAGGTGGGAGGTTCTTACTTTATATTCTACCTTTTCTACTTTGAGTTTCTAATTCTTAACCACAATACACATTGTATGGTAGATGTAACAAAATACAAACTAAGCAATAAGGCCATAGGAAGTGCTTTGTGACAAACAAAAATTTATATTTAGCATTTTTCCTTTATATTTCCATTTAAATATAAACTGAACAATAAGACAAGATCATGACATGCACTCTTTAACCTGTCCAGAACAAAAGGGTTAAGAAGTAAGAATTAGAACCAAACCTTAATAAGGATGTGTACATAGGAAGGAATAATTAACCAAGATTAAGCATTATCATCCACGTGTACATGTGAAAAAGTAGAGAACAAGAACTAAACATTACTTTCTATGTGTACCTGGTAAGAGTAATAAACTACATCAAAACATTATATTCTATTATCTTCTATGTGAACATGTTAAGGAGTAAGAACTAGAAATAAATATTAACATGGATGTGTACATGGTAAGGAATAAGTAGCCAGGACTAAGTCTTATTTTCCATGTGTACAAGTGAAGAAGTAATGACCAAGAACTAAACATTATCTTCTAGATACAGATCTTAAAATATAAGGAACTAGAATCAAACATAAATAATTATATATACATGGCAAAATATGCTCAATTAAGACTAAGCATGACCCATCAAGAGTACATGTGAGGAAGTAATGAAAGAGATGTAAACATCACTAGAATGAAATATCAACATATAAGACCTACAGACATTTTTCTTTTTTTACATCCTCCAAGTGTTAAATTCGATGAGGCATAGTAAGTACAATGCATGAGCAATGCACCTAGTTTTACAATCAAAGAGTTAAGAAGTAATAAGCTATGTCTAAACATTAACCATTTTGAAACAGGTCATGGGTGAAAGTCCACATCATCTCATTTGTTGACTGGCATTCAAAATTTAATTGAACTACTATTTCATGAATCTATGTCAATAAGTTTGGAATCAAACTGTAGATTATAATTCAAATTTTAGTAATATATATTACTCAATTTCTTAATTTAAAAGTAAACATTAAACATCGATTCTTGTGTGTCATGTAGTACGTTGAATGCAGCACTGGTTAAAATTAGATGTTTGTGAAGTCAAAATACCAAGTATATAGTTCGAACAAATTAGAAACTCAAATTACCTATATTGACAAGCTAGAATATAAAATAAGAGCCACTTATCTTTCTATTTGCTAAGATACTGCTCATGTAATAAATCAAACACAATAGCACCTGCACACCTCTTTCCATTTTGGAAATGCTCCCTCATATATGCTTACTTCTATATATAAAATGAATAACCAATCGGAAGCTCAGAATGTCTCCCTAGTGGCTTTCTCAGCCATTTTAACAGATTTAGCACCATTTCTTTCTTTTGAACCAATATTTTAATGAGGTAGGGTGTGTCTTTAGTCTGCTCGAAATTTCATATTTTTTTAGACCAAAATATATCTTAGTTACTAAGCTTGATAAATTATAGTAGAATTCTATGGTATTAATGTATTAACTTGTGTTTTTTAGTTATTGAAATGTATATATAAAACCTAGAAAAAATTCTGTTTCATATCCTCCACGTGAAAATTTTTTAAAGGCTAACAACCTATGTCAAGCAGCAACAGAGTATATAGGTCGTAACTAGAAGAGATAATTGTTTGCTTTACTTCTTTAGTTACTGTTTCATGTTTTAAGAAAAATAAGTTTTAGAACTTATTTCTAAATAATAATAATCTATATACATATATAATGTATAATAATTGAAATGTGACTGTATTTTACAAAATACTAGTCTACTAAAACACAACCAAGACAAGTTACTTTGCCCAGACCAAAGGTCAGTTTATGTTATTTGATATGGTAACATGAGTGTACGTGAGCTGCATCATTGTAACTTCTGTATTGCTAGCCAGGCACAGCTGAAAGGTCAATATAATAAAAATAATAAATATATATTGAAAATGAATATTACTTTGCATGATAGATAGGCAACATATGAAAACAAAGAAAAGACATGAGAAAAACATTGTTTTATAAAAAATTTTGATATTTTGTATATGAAAGCATTGTAATGTTTACTGATAACCTGCTAAATTTCGTTAACATTCGCTTATTAATTCAAAAGTTATAGCATGAAAACTATAACAAGCACAAAATGGTTACAAGGACGGTCCCAGGGACCGAGCCCATGCTGATCTTTCAGTTAAGTCCTATGAATTTTGTGTTAATGAAACAAACTATATCTGAACAATAATTTCTACATGATACATGGTAGGGCAGGAACGATGAAACATAAAACAGCAGGAGTGAATTGAAACCTGAGGTAAATGCCAGGTTCAGCACTAAGATGGGAAAAGAAACACAAGTTAGAAGGCTTACATAAGGCAACAAAGTTGAGATATTTTCAGTAGGTAGAGAAGTATTTGGTGGAAAGTCACTCCATATTATCCCTCTCAACTTCTGCTTCAAAATCTGTGAAGGGAAATGTGTGGCAGAAATGGAAGAAGAAGGCCTAGGGGGCAATATGGACCCCACCACACAGTGGAAGATGTGATGTTACTCTTCTTCATACTGCATTTTGAGCCTGCACAGCACCTTTCACAATACATGAACGCTGTCATGATCTCAAATGGCAAAAGCTTCCAAAATTGTTGGAAACTGCAAGTGATATTTGTACTCACATCAGCAGAAAAAAGAATTCACGTTAATCTGTGATTCATATTGAAAGGTTGAAAATATAAAGTAAGATTGTTGAAGTAGTTACTTTAACAAGTCTCAGCAAAAACATACACATCTAATTGCGACTGTACTGAGGAAAAGAATGCGCAAATGTTGAGGGAGCATTTGTTCAAGGATGTGCATCACATTCCTATTGGTGGAGTGTTTTGCTGCATGATATGGCATTATGTAGTAGCACAATTTCACATGTATTTTAGGTGGGAGTTTCACAAGGCTGGTGGCATGCAAGACTCTAAGGCAGAATAGTGTGACCTCAAGAGAAAAATAGTTAATCTGTGCGTGGAGGTGAGTCATCATATCAGAATTACTTTTCTTTAAGACTGGCCAAAATACACTTGCATAGATAATTATATAACTATTACTGAGAAAACTGTTATTTTAATACAATGACACAAAAGCTATAACATGTTTTACCTGTTTTTTTTCCATGTGACACTGAATAAATTATTCAGCTACAAAAAAGCACTTTCATCATTTGTGTCTCCAATATAAATGTCCATCTGAGCGTCCTATATCCAGCATGAAGTACATGAGACAGACAGAAAAACCATATATTTTTCATGTGAAACTACCACTATTTTTAAAATTTATAACCTCATTTTACTATTCACACTTTTAACTTGTTCAATCTTCTAACTAACCAATATTAGAGATTTTTGAAACAAAGCACTTAGCAGTAAGTGCCTGGATTGCATTTCAAGCTTAAAAACTTTATCAAGTTTATTAAAAGATCATTGCTAGTTTAAAAAAGTAGCAGTTTATAATCAAATCCTTAAAAATGCAGAAAAGTCTTACAACCATGTTATTAGTGATTATCAAACAACATAAAATAATAGCAGACATTATTTACTGTTTTTGAAGGTTCTTCCCATTTTGTATATCGGCTTATCATATAAAACTATTTTGCCTATCAATGTATACATTTTTATAAAAAAATATTTTAAAAATCAACACAATGCATATTGTTAACTCAAAGTTTACTGCACCCAAACATATAAATATATATTTTTTGAATAACAAGTATGGCAAATGTTTTAAAATTGTGCTATATAATGACATAAAAATAAAGTTATTAAATATGGTGTATTTTCAAAGTGAATAATTAAAAGTTATAAAAATCCACATTTTCCCCTAGAAAATATTCAAGAGTTTCATATTTGAGAGAAAAATAGCCTCGATTCTTTTTGCTACTGGAATACTTGTTTATACATATATAGAGGGAGTAAAGCCATTCCACTCTGCAGTGTTTATGTACAGTAATTTATGTCATATGAATAAATCATTCAGAAAAACTGAGTACATGCAAAAGCAAACAAAATTTTTTAGAAAGGAAAATTATAGGCAAATTCCATTCTTTTTAGCAGATATTTATAATGGAGATTCATATTTGGCTAAATATCTTTTATACTTGTTTACTCGTATATCTATTTAATAAAAAATAAAGAGGATAAAAAAGAAAATGTTTACTAAGACAAAGTAAAACAACAGAAAGTAATTTAAAACAAAGGAAATACAAAATAAAACCAATGACAACTAACTAAAAACTATAATTTTCCTAAGACTGAAACTCTAATTTTTAATGCTCTTTATTTTTTAAGAAACATCATAAAGCATAAAATAAAAGAAAGCTACCAAGGATAATTGGTGCACTAATGTAAGAGTCTTTGTAGTCCTTCGGATTCATTTTCAGCACTCCCTGTAGGGAAGGTAGGAAGAATAAGAACACAAAATAATTGAGCATTATTAACATTAAAACCCAAATTTCTTTAGAAATCATTACATACATTTTTTAAGTAAATGTAATAGGTTCAATCATGAAATTACAGAAATGTTTTAGAAATATGTTGTCTGATATTAATAAACATAATTTACCATATATGACTTAAAATATACACTCAATAATGACAAACATTTGTTTTCTAACATAAATTTAAATATCTTGGAAACAAAATAAAAACTATATAAACACATGCTAAAAATCCTTCAGAAAAACAAAACACTGAGTTGCATATCACTAAATACTGAACCAACTATCCTGGTATTTCTTCTCCATTGTTGTGAATTCCTTCATTTGTCATCTTTGGGAAAACCTTATGTCTGCAGATGTAACAGCCATATTTTAGCCAACATCTGTTGCAAATTTGTGTCAATTTTTGACAATTCCACTGCATCATCCAAACAAAATACATGTGTATTTTTGTTTTCTATCTGCTTTACTCTTTAGAATTGTTTTTTTATTATAAGAGGATGTGGTTTGTTCAATGTCTGAGACAGCATAGTAGGAAGTTGTAGGAAGTTAAATATTTTAAAAGAAGCAGTTTCTTGTCTTATTTTAATAATAGTCTCTTCACTTTTTTTTAAAGTTTCACAATGCAAAAATTTGAGAAGGTCATTGTTTTGGTTTATTAAATCTGCCTCTTTATTACTTTTCTTTGCTGATATGGAGTACCATAAAAGATGTTTTTTTTTAAATTACTGTTTAACTACTTGTTATTCATCACTGTCCTAATTGTCACTCTTTAAAAACTTTAAAACAGTTTTGTAAGGATATTTCTATTTTACATACTTCCTAAAAAAAACTTGTCTGTTGATCTTTTGTCCAATGTATACCACAGTTGCCTACTTTTCAAAATTTCAATAATTTCTTATTGCACATTTTTAGAATATTTATATTGCACACACCTGTAAAAACAGTAAATTTCTACTGTACCTGGGGAGAAAATGCAAGCTTTGAACCAACTGGCTATCTGAAGCAGATATGTTCAGTTAGGGGAAACATGATAGGAGAGGTAATATTATAAACACAAACAGCTAATGAATTCATTGGTAAAATTATTTTTATTTTATAACATCTCCATTTTCCTGCCAAAGATAGTTGCCTACCTTGTCTATTCAATAAAGGTAGCCCTGACCTTAATATTAAAATATTATACTAATCAAGTTTAGATACAAACACTAGAGAAACACATTTCAATTTATGTGATACAGCATATATTTATAATGTAATAAAAGTCTTAGAAAAAGAGACCAAAATGCCATTCACTTCTACACTCCAGGCAGATCCAGTCCACAAAAATTTCAAATCCAGAAGAACTTACAGAAACTGAAAAGTGCTAATAAAATACAAAATATTCACCAATGGAACAGCCTACAGAGGAGACCCAATAATTTAACTAACTTATCTATTTGAGAAGCCATAATGAAAAACAAGAACACCGATATGAAACTGTTGTAAAATAAAAACTCACCTCAATGACTTCTCCTTTCTTTAAACTCTGTTGAACATCACACAAGGGAACAAAGACTTCAAACTGTAAATACAAATACAGTTAGTCACACGGGTTAATTTCTACTGATTGTTTGCTTTGAATATTTCTGCAAAGCTACATAATGGCTATCTGCACTAGCCATCCCTTATTTGAACTGATAGACTACAGGGAAAGCAGCTAGTCATCAGTATCCACTGCCAGCTCTTGGGCTACTATAATTAAAAAGTGGGATTCGACCATCACTCATTATGTGTACACTGCCCAAAATTTTGGAGTGTAGTTTTCTTGTAACAGGAGGTGAATCATGAACCCTCATATTCACAGTCTGGTACACTAACTACTAAATTACAGTTCAAGTTCACATCTAAATTAATACTTTTATACTCCTAAACATCACTTTTGAACAAGATGACAAACTATCCAAATGTTTCATTCTGTCTTTTACATCACAAAAATTTGTTTGTTTCTTAGCACAAAGCCATACAATGGGCTATAAGTTCTATACATTGTGGAGAATTGAATCCAGGATTATAGAGCTGCATGTCCATAAACATTCTGCTGACCCACTGAGGAACCATGAAGAAGATTCAAGTATTCAACACCTTATAAATTATTATATTGCATTTCAAGTTTTATCACAAAAAACTTGTTAATCTTTTTCTCTAATTTAAGCAAAAATTATTGTTTAAGACTCATAATGTAGGTAAATTACTATGTAGAATTATAAACAAACTTTTCTCTACGTTCAAATACTTTTATTGCGAGCTCTTGGCCCTCTTACTGGAACCTTCATCGGGCAACAATGCACTGAGAGAAAAAATTTGTTAAACTGTTTAACAAATTGTTTTGCTCAGTGCATTGTCTGTTTATATTTCTATATACTAAACAAAAATGTTCATTTATTTTATTGACAGTTTTAACAAATCAAGTGAAAAAAGTCCATAAAAGATTATGCAAAAACAATAAATAACTTTAAGCTAATAAAAAATACTTGCTATATACATATCTAAAAACTTCATTTCACATTGTGAGGATTATATCTCAGTGAAATACATATATTGTCATACCTATGATTTTTAATGTTAATTTTCTGTTGGAAAGTACAGTAAATATTAATTTTCTATTTTCTTAACACATTGGTCCTATAGACATCATTAGTTTGATCTGTATAAATAGTAAATATACTAAAAAGGTCACATTGTGCAATTTGTCCGTTTTTTTAATCAAGATTAAACTTTTACAAATAATTTGAGCCATAAAAATATGGAAAAAAAAGCTTTTAGCACTAGCAACAAGCTTAGTTTTATATTTGAAAGTTTATATGAATACAGCAGTCTTAATTTACAGTTATCATGACCTTGACACTTCAGTACAGGTATTGGTGTATTTCAAAGAAATAAATCGAAAAAGGATGAAATAATAATAGAGGTAGTCTTATTTTTTAATCCACATGAGGCAATACATACTATTTACTATAAATAATGTTTAATTCCTAAATATGTCAGCATCAGTCCGAGTGAGTTCACTAAAGACATATCTCACATGACAAAACAGTAGCATTTACAGTAGTTTGTTAAACTAACTAAACTAAAACTTAAACCTATGACTAAACTTCAATAAAAAATAAAACAAAACATTGTATTATATGTAATTGTAGTAAAGTATATAGTGAACTTGTACAGGGATATGAAATAAATAACTAAGAAATTAAACTAATTTACAATTAAAATGTTTCTCTTTCATTCTTCTAATTAAACTGAGAATCTACAGTTATCTGACTTCAAATGATTACTATTGACTAATCCAACTGACTGTTATTTGGTGATCTCAGTATCAAAAGACCCAATTAGATAGAAAATCTTGGCATTTGTTCAAACTAGCTATGTTCTTTCATTGGTTATTACTAACCATATCCCCACTCAGCTTTTGATTTAGCTAAAGATATGGACTTACCATAGTTTTAACTGTGTGAACATCCATTTTTTCTACTTGTGTTATGACCATGCACTACCCTTAATTCAAAACATGTGATGAGCATAAGCAAATAAGGTAATAAGAAAAATTAATATATATTTCAATAGAGAAAAAAAATCAGGAAAAAAAAGAGAAATACACAAATGAAACACCCAAAAACCTATAAGTGAATAATTGACAAGCAATTCTATCAGCATTTACCTAACTGTTCATTCACCTCTCACCTTTCTAAAATGTGCAAAAGGCTAAAACTGTTTAGAAAATAGTGGTAGTTTAACTCTAGAAATTGTGAACATGCCAAATACTACATCTCATACATCCTTTAATGTTCAAGTTTGTATATTGGCACTTAGTCTCATATGCTATTAACACATTCAATATAGACCTCCTCTTGGTAAATACCACTCCCAAAAAGAGTCAAATTATTTAGCTTTCTGGAACTGAAACTAAAGTCTCCATAGTCATAAATAAATGATTAACATGAAAAGTCTTAACACTGCATGCTAAAATTGGGGTCAAAAACAAGAATAAATGAAGGTAGAAAGCAGTTACAGGTTGGAAATATCACATCAAAATGTAATTCATTTTAGAGATTTTGCAATACTAGCACGTCAAATAAAAAAATATAGAAATATTAAGTAGCTAAGTTATTGGTTTGTTGGATTTTACTTAGTGCAAAGCTACATAATGTCTATTTCCATTCTGTCCACCAAAGGAAATTGAAACCTGTATTTTAGTACTATCAGTCCAGAAACTTACTCCTGACTAATTGGGGGGACAGTAACTAACTTCATGCTTGTTGCACCTTCACAAGACACACAATGCCAGTGATTTGCTCCAGTTACCTTTAGCATAAATGGATAAGAATGGTGACACATTCTCCCCAGAAAGGATACCAGTCCACCACAGGTCAACCATCATGCAGTTACCCAACCAATGTCAACTATTTTACAGCTGGGTAGATTGAAGCAACTGGAATAAAGTGGTACAAGGACACAAAAACATATCTCAGGTTAGCTTTGAGCCTGCCACCTTTAAACTGTGAGTTCAAAGTGTTAACCACTAGGCCATGCTGCCCTATTTGAAAACAAAGAAAGCCAAAGAGCATTATGTGAAGTTTAAAGATACAATAACAAATATTTAAAACACTACAACACAAACAAAAGTCAGAAATTTAGAAAGCCATGCAAAAAAAGGAACAAAAACATACAAAGGATTGCAGAGAACATCAGGTGATAACATCATCATTATCTCAGAAAATGCTCAAAGTATTACTACAGAAGATGTAAGAAAGTTTGATGTACAAAGTTCTGTTGAAGGTTTTCATATCAGGTTCATAGTTTTTCAAAAAATTAGGAGACATTAAGACTATAAAAGCAAAGTTTTTAGTCCATAATTAACATTTGCATATAAAAACAATGGGAGACAGAATGGGCCTGTATCAGAATAAATTACAAAGTTTTGCAAACTACCTACACCTCTGTTAATAAATGCTCTAGAATTTCATTCCAGGAGGATACAATACTGACCACATCTACATCTCCAAAAGCTGTTCATAACACAGAAACACAGATCTGTCAACATTCCATAAAACCAATGAATTAATATGCTTCAGTCTTAATTTCCTAAAAATCATAGAAAACGTATCTGGCCTTGTTCAGTATAATTTTTCCAATAAACGAATGGAATGACAAATAAGCTATAATGAATAAAAATATTTATTATATCCAAAGCTATCAGGGGTTACAGTATCTTCAAGAAAAAAACAACAACAACAACAACAATTAATCAATCAAGAAATACCAGAAATAAAATCAATGATTAATAATTTCTATCTAATGAACCTGACACATCTCACTACAAAACACTTGAAGAACAAACTAAAAGGATAAAAAACCTAAATAGCTTCCATGAGTTTATTTCTTAACTAAAACAGAATAAGGATAGTTTAGAAACATAGTCATGCTATAATAGAATACCTGTGTTTAATATCCAGAAGAAAAGTTAAAATTTTCCTTACCCGAAAATGTTTTTCCAAGAGATACTCACCTCTATACACAGATAGCTATTTTCCTCTTGAAGTCATGCTTATCTGCCTGAGAGACTTGAATGACATCAGCTTTGTGGAAATTCCCACCTACATTCACATGAACTTGCACTACTACACGATTACATATCATATAGCAAAATCTTCCACCAACAGGAGTGCAACATATCTCCTTGCATACAATGGCCCTCTACATTGGCATGCAAGAATCCTCATTCTTTGATGAGGCAATAAAGAAAAGTGCACCAGAAAAATGTGGAGAATGGATGGGATTTTGTACAGAGACGAGTATCCATCGGAAATACATTTTCAGGTAAGGAAAATGTTAACTTCTGAAACAAATACTCAGCTCTGTACACAGATAGTTAGAATTCCACATTGAGATGGTGGAGGAATTGGTGCAAAGATCACCTAGATTAGCTTCCTTCTGAAAGTGTCTAAAGGAAGCCCATATAGTATGACACCAATGGCAGGGGCTCCATAGGGGCACACCCATGGGAGACCATATCTCTTCTTATCCAGGGTATATGCCCATATATAAGAAGAGAAGAGGCTAAAAACCTGAAAGTGTCAAAAGGATGGGCAGAATAGGTACATGACCATTGAGCACCTTCACACAAACTGTCAGACAACCAATTTCTGCAGCGAGGTTAGAGCTCAGTCAGACCATGACTTGTGTGCTCACCTCCTCTACCATCAGACTCAATTGGTTTAAGCCAGCTGTGATAAAGGCACTTGTGATAAGTATCCGTGTGCATGTTCTCAACTATAAGACACTACAAACCACATGCCAGCTGTGGGAGGAGGGCACCACACTGGAATTTGTCATAATGAATACTTAATAACCTCTATGCAACCATTAATCCCTACAGGTTCCTTGCCTTCTGTGAAAGTAGGGTGTGAGAGTGAAACATTACAGTTGGATATGGATTAGTGTCATCTATTCTGCTGTCTGAAACTTAAGAGTCCATGAAAGAGCAGGAGCAGTAGTCATGAGAGATATACATACATACATATATAT